TCAGCTGTGAAAAACGAACAGAAGTGAGAGGGGGCGGACATGCATAGTGTGACTTTAGTTAGGTGCCTGGCCGTATGGCAGTGCGGGGCCTAGTTGGAGTCAACACCGAGTTACCACACCCTTCAGCCCCCATTCGTGCGCTTTTGAGCGGAGAGCTGATACCCTGCTGCAGCTGCGGATCTGTTCTCCCACACACGGTGAGAACCAGGTCCACGGAGGTGAGTGTACATTTTGCCGCCAATGAGTGCAAATTATATCACGTTCTTTGCACTCGGAATCGTAGGTAGTGGCATTTTGAAAGCGATTTGGCCAGCACAAGTACACTCCTTATCCCTGAGAGGGTAGGTAGGCCGGGCATTTAAACATGGCATAGGATTATTACTTGTGGGATATTTAACTCTGGCACGACTGTCATCTTATTCAGCATCAGACAGAGACATGACCACAACTGTGCCAAAACGAAAATATCTCACGGAAAGCACAGCAACCGCCACATTTAGTTGAAGTACGCAGCCACGCCTACCCCATCCAGGGGATTTCGAGTGTACTTGCAGGCTAGCCGATTTATGTACAGGTGGATTTTATCTCTCAAACGAATAAGATGCCATTTTCAGGGGCCGAAAAAGGGAATTTCGATTTTTTCGCGCGGAATTCAAAATTTGATACCCTGACAGATAAAATGGAAATTGGCGCCTCTTGCCAATACACTACCTCCACTCGCAGTGATAACTGGTACTAAAGAAAACAGAACAAAACATAAACTGTAACATCCACCAAAGCTTTCAGCTTGACGTTCAGTGCTCATGCCGGCTAACCGCTCTACCAAATTTTATTTGACTGCTCATAGGCTGTAGCAAATACTGACTGCGCAGAAGGTGAGGGGGGGGGGGGAAAACACCGCTCACATTAGACGCTAGTGGAACTGCAATGGGTAGCCAGGGTTTCTCAGAAAAGCAGTGATTGAGTTCAACGAACTGCTATTTCGCACCGTATATCAACGCCCTTGGAACTGTCGCATCACGAACCTCTGTGAAAAAGTCGGTCATAACGGGAAGTAAGGTCAATAGCGACGTACCTTGTCTGGATTGCAAAGCACGAACAGGGTGGAGACACAAAAGACTGAGGCAATTTGCTCTGCGGTATTCGTTTTGATCGGCACTCTATCCGCTTACCCGGAAGACGTGCTTGTGCATCTGAAATAAGAGCAGTGAGTGCGTGAAACATTTATGAACTGTGAAAAAATGGAGAATTGGAAGATGACTCTTTCCAACGAAGCTCCCACCTCCTTCGAAATCGCAGGTTACAATCTAGGCCACCAGACAACGATGCAAAATTACAAAGTGGTCCTACCTTCGTCGAAAGGGTTCAGCATCTATAATATTCTGCAACTAATGTCCCATCCACAATAGTTTTGTCCCCTTCTAAGCCAACTATCTCATTTCTTTGCGCTTCTGTTAGCGCGCTAACGGCTTCGGAAGCAGGGAAAAAAACTCATCGGTGGCGCACACGCGGCACGTACCGAACGTTGCTGTGGTACGGCGAAGGACCGGCTAGTAACTCAGAACATTGGAGAAGTTCCAACGCCCTGGTCAGTAAGCCAAAATGAGAGAATCTCATGCTTTGGTCTGCTATGCTCGTTCCTGCCTCCTTGCGTGCGTGCGCAGCTGAGTTTTTCCGTGGAACCGACCCCAGGGTCTGACTACGACAAAGGACAATAATTTCTCTACCTCAAGTTCTAAATCTGTAGGAATACTATTGAAGCTCACCACCAATCACGAATAACGTTGAACCCTCAGGAGATGGCACTTCGATTTTTTGCACTGTATTTTTCAGAAGGTTGAAGGCATCAACGAGAAGTCGACCAGCGGAGCCCGGTTTCGCTTTTTGACCTTTCGAAGCAGGCTGAAATAAGAAACAGTTAAGATAAAAAGGCAAGGTCGTCAGCAAGCTGTGAAATATTCACCTGCTTTCTGGAGAAACCCGTCCATCTGCCCTTAACGATGGCATAGTCGCCATCCTTGTTTACTATCACGAATGCTCGTTCATCGGCATTGGACAGATGCGGTAGGAATTGCTGAAAACAGGTAGAGTTTAATCGAACCATTGTCACTTTTACACCACCACTGACTGAAAAACTTGTCTAGTGCGATTGCGCGACGATCTGAGTGTTTTCTACATGTTCTGCTCGTTTTCGATGTTTCTCGCTTTTCTTTATTGGATAGTCGCTTAGGCTGCGTTCATACTTTGCGGTAGCGTCTACCAGCAACCAAGAGCGTCCACCAGCTTCCAAGCGTTCAGCAGCGTCAGCGACTGGAAAGTACAAATATCGAACTGGCGTCTGCCAGCGTTCGGGAGTTGGAAGTATGGGACATAAGTGGCTAGGATAGCTGGCACCCT